TTCGCTGGAAGCACACCATGATCCCAACGCGGATAGATTACTCGACCTCGAACGGAAAACTACGTTTCAGGTTACGACAAGCTCAAGATTATTGCCTCCATAAGTGATTTTATATCTCTTTCTGAATGCAGTTAAAATAAATGTATATAAATAAGTCTATAATTATATTTTCAATATAGCATATATGTTCAGCAAACCTTCGTGTAAATATGTTTTATTAATATGAAAAGATCAGAAATGCATGTTAAACCTTTCGATGCGTTTTCCATTTTGTCGAATAAATTGTTGGATATCAGATTAAAACAGATAAAAAGGCGCACCGAAAATGTGTGTTATGTTTCGATTGCTTTCGACCGTCGTTGGAGTGTTGTTCCCGGAAAGACGGTAAAAATCTGCGAGACGGCCAATGTAGCGCTTACGTTGTTAACGGTCAAAAGCTTGAAATAAACTCGGGTTCACATGCTAAAACCGAGAAAAACATTTTTTGGTCACGTCGTTTTGTTTCGATCTAGGTGCACACGTGTTAAAATGCTTTGAACCCATATTCATTTCAAATGACCAAAAATGCGTGATCAGAGTACAAATCACTGAAACTGTGGCAATCTGATTGAAGGAAAAAAAAACAACATGCATGTCACGAATCATATTGCCAAATGAATACGCAACACGAGAGTATGGATTGATCAAGGTACATATATTGAAGGTGGCACAGTGGTCTAAGTTTTTAGTCACCCTTATTTTCAGCAATTTCCGCTTGTTTAATAACGTCTCTTCTTTTTTTAAGACGATACCGTGTTATTATGAACCCACTCTCATCTTTGAACGATAGTTGATTTATATCTTGCAATGAAAGTTCGCGGAAGTAAGAAAATTGGTAAATTTCAACGAGGGCAAATAATAGGATGGCATCAGAATGGTCAGTCAAATATAGAAATTGATAGGTTTTTCCAGGTTAATCATCAAACGGTTAATAATATTGTCAAGGAATTTAATGAAGAAGGCCATTGTCCTGCAGAACAACGTTCAGGAAGGACAAACATCGTATCTGAACGAAGGAAAATGTCACTGAATAGGGAAGTCATCAGAAACCGTCGTCAGAGCGTCAAAGATGTCGCCAAAAGCATGGAAATGTCGCCAAATGCGGTGAGAATGACTCTGAAAAACACGCATTTTGAACACGATTATGAAAACGAACCTGAACGAACACGACATAAAGAAGACAGAAATATTAACTGTAGACAGTATTAGGATTTTATATACCATGAAATACGGCAGTTTTTTTTTCGGTCTCAGTTTTCTTCTCTACTATTCCCTTTTTTAAAAACTTATTCACTATTCTCTAGATGGTTTTGAATGAATTTGAAGATGGAAGCCAGATTATGAATGTTGGTACCATTAATGAAGGCGTGACCTCCATCTTCTGGTTTTCTCCTTCTATATTTTGGATAGGAATCATCCTCTTTTTCAAATTTAAATTTAATTTAAATCAAAAGGAAAAAAAATCAGTTGGGTTAATTAGTAAGACTAAACCATTAAAACAAAAATAAAAAAAGTTTTCTGGCTTTAATAACCTGCAAAAACCATTGCAAGAAAAACAAAAATTATCATGAATTTTGGCAAAATTTGGTCAGATGAAAAAATTTGTCAATTTTCGAATTCGAGACAGTTTTATGTTTTAAATAACCCATGGAATTGGAGTAATGTTTGGAGCGCTGTCTGGTTTTGCAAAAGCTGTTGAATGGTCTAAAATACTGTCAAATGATTAGAGAAAGGAAAAATCCCACTATTTGAAAGCAATCAGATTGACAAGAATGTCTACTTTTTCAAGAAGTGATACGAGGCCTGGAAAAAATCGCAAGGAATCAAGTCACTGTCATGGGTAGCCCACTGTCCTGACCTGAATCGAATAGAGCACGTTTGGGAGCACCTCCACCGAAGACTTCGAGAGCGTGCAACCAAAATTACGTCAGTGACAACCCTTAAAAACATTGCTAAAGGAGTGGCAATATATGGATCCGACGATTGTTGATAACGTGATCAAATCCATGAAAAATCGAATACAAGCACTGAAACTAGCAAATGGAGAACCCATCCTATACTAGTTCCAAATACTGTTTATTTATGTTGAATAGGGATTACGTAATTAAATCTTGAAATTGGGTGTAGTTTATTTCTCCCGACGGATGTAGTTTATTTCTCTCGACTAAAAACTTTTCTTAGGCCACTGTGCAACAATTTGAAATAAGGAAAGCGTTGTCACTTTTTTTTATTCTCTCTTTCTCTATTCTCCCCCTAAATAAAGACTGGAGTCCCAAGCACAAAGTAGTTAATTTTTGTCTCTCTCTCTAAGAAAATGTAAACTGCGGTGAGGGAAGACTAGAAAAGTACAAATCATTTGCATCGACCACCTAAAACCATATATTTTATACTCAGACAGAAGGAGTGAGTATATTCGGTGAAACAATTCCTGTTCGAGTATGGCGATCTCATTTCTACTAGACAGTTTATACTACGAGTAGCACGAGAGACCTAGTGGAAAACGTCGATGTCGATGGCCTACTATATATAATAAAGGAACTGGATCTATATTCTAAAATATGAAGATCTGACGAGAACTTTTTATTCAAGAATTATTTGTGCAATATGTATATAAAGTGTAAATAATGATAATTACTCATCTCAGAAATTCAGACTGATGTCGATCGGATGATTAAAACAACAAAGATGAGGACAATAGTCTGAATATAAATACAGTGTAACCCGGATATAAGAGAGTTGTCGGGACCGGAGAAGAAGTCTCTTATATCCGGGTTTCTCTTATATCCGGGTTTGGTCTATTTTGTTTAGGTAAGTATGTGAACACTTTGGGACCAGAGAAAATCTCTCTTATATCCGGGTTTCTCTTATATCCGGGTCTCTTATATCCGGGTTACACTGTAGTGTAAATAATGATAACTCCTCATCCCCGAAATTCAGATAGATGGTAATCGGGCGATGACAAAAACAAAGATGAGGACAATAGTCTGAATATAAGTAGTGTAAATAAAGATAACTCATCATCCCAGAAATTCAGAATTTTTTGAATATTTTTTATAATAACCTATTTTTAAATTGGATTAAATTAAAGAAAAATAAATTCAAAATATAAATAGAAGAATGACTAATGTTCAATATCGAAAGGCTTAACAAGAGTTGAAATATCGTTTATTCAAATAACCTAACCAAAACTACATTTTGAGGGCTTCCAAACAAATCACTTTTTTCTTTGTTTTCTACATCCTATCAATATCAGTCTGTGGCAGTTAGACAGACATAATATTCAGTCAGTCGGATAAAGGGCAAGCATTACTCTCGCTACTCTTATCAGTATCTACAAATGATCGAAAATTCACTCACTCCTAGAGGACAAACACCAATGGCAAAGATGATTCTCGTAAGATATGTCGTCATCAGCTTCAGCCAAAAAGGGATTTGTCACGCAATATCTTGTCAACTTCATCAGGAGAAAATACATTTCTCGCGTGACTTCTCGCGTTAAATCTCATTCGCTAGTTACAAGTAATTAAGCAGTTAGATCTAACACAGTGTTTCTCAACCTTTTTAAGCAACGGCACATCTAGAAGGAAATGAAAATACCACGGCACATTTAGCAAAATTTTTAAAGTGTAAATGTTACGAAATAAAACCATAGATTTTTTTTAAATACACACACAAATATGAACTTAATTTATTTAAATGTTTCTATTCAATTATTTGTGAAGTTCATTTAGTGTGAAAACTGTGCCTGGTGTTTTTTTCGTGATTTCTTCAATGTTTGGTGGAAAGTGCGATAAGCAGACCCTTGTTTCTTTTTCAGTTGAGCGTAGTTTTTCTCGCTTCTCATTTTTGATGTTATGTAGGTTTGAGGAACCTAATTCATATAAATAAGAATTAGAAGATTGCAATAAAACTGATAAAGTATTTTTTAGATAAGGTGGGATATTCCATCTGGATTTCAATGCAAAATGTATCAATGGGTACCGTCAAATATTTATTTTGAGCCCTAGATTAATAGAAATGGTGGCCTATTCTCCCTGTTCATATAACTGAAGTCCAGTATTAGAAGGGACATTTGTGAAGGTATTTCTAATCCAATCATTCTTTTCTGTGCTCAATGACGAAAAATAATGGTCGATGTTTTCGTCGAGGGCTTTCAGATGTGTAGCCATAATAGGAATCATTTCTTTAAATGCAGGTTGTACGCATTTAAGGAAACATATCAAAATTATGCGACCTTGCTCTATTTTTCCAAATCACAATTTTCTTTTTGAGGGCAACCAACTTATCTGTTGAAGTTAGAATATTTTCCTTTTTACCTGGCACGCTACTGTTCGTATTATTTAGTTGATTAAATATTTTATGGCGCATTCTGGAGGATCGCGCCGCAAACTAGTAAACTTACTGTACTAATTTCATTTTAACACTCAGTTAATTTTTCAAGAAAGCATTCGGAGAAATGCTTTAGATTGAATGAATCTTATTTACAGGAGCCTTTCTTCCGACTATATACAAGCAAATGTGTTTAATACAAAGGTAATTCTTTCAGCAAGCTATATTTAGCTCGGTTGAATGTGCGGCCAGTATTAGTGACTAACATTAGAGCATGTTCCAGTATACAAGCGGCAGTATTGTTTTTAAAACAGCCAGTGAGAAATAAAGTCAAACTCAGTGATAAGATCTAAGATATCATGTGGTACTGGCTGAGTGATTGTGTAAAACAATATAGATAAAGAACAAAGAGGTATCAAAAACAGAGGTCAGAGAGACGTCCGTAACACATGTCCGTGAGAGCCAAATCTAGGTTGTTGTTTTTTTTTTTAATAAGGTGTCGAGGAGAAGTGAGACATATGACCGAGAGAGAGAAGTGAGTTTTTGTATCAGGCATCTTCTAAAAGAGAAACGCAAAATCCAAGAGAGCCGAGTTAGCTTTAAGGATAAGCAGTTTTGGAGTAATGAAACTGCTATCCGGGAAAGCGAAGACAGCATTTTGGATAAGGCGTCATCTGAGATGCAAGACAGGTGTCCGGGAGTTCTAAGCCAGCTTTAAGGATAAGGTGTTGTGTAGAAAGGAAATAGATATCCAGGAAACCCAAGTCAGCTTTTAGGATAAGTTGTCGTGGAGAAGTGGGACGGATGTCTGGGAGAGCCAAGGCAACTTTTAGCATAGGGCGTCGTGGAGAAGTGGGACGGATGTCTGGGAGAGCAAAGGCAACATTTAGGATAGGGCGTCGTGAAGAAGTGAGATGGATGTCTGGGAGAGCCAAGGCAACTTTTAGGATAAGTCGTCGTGGAGAAGTGGGACGGATGTCTGGGAGAGCCAAGGCAACTTTTAGGATAGGGCGTCATGGGACAGATGTCTGGGAGAGCCAAGGCAACTTTTAGGATAAGTCGTCGTGGAGAAGTGGGACGGATGTCTGGGAGAGCCAAGGCAACAGTTAGGATAGGGCGTCGTGAGAAGTGGGACGGATGTCTGGGAGAGCCAATCCAAACTTTGGGATAGGGCGTCGTGGAGAAGTGGGACGGATATCTGGGAGAGCCAAGGCAACTTTTAGGATAGGGCGTCGTGGAGAAGTGGGACGGATGTCTGGGAGAGCCAAGGCAACTTTTAGGATAGGGCGTCGTGGAGAAGTGGGACGGATGTCTGGGAGAGACAGAGCCAGGATAGGGCGTCGTGGAGAAATGGGACGGATGTTGGGAGAGCCAAGGCAACTTTTAGGATGGGGGCGTCGTGGAGAAGTGGGGCGGATGCCTTTGAGAGCCAAGGCAACTTTTAGGATGGGGCGTCGTGGGAAGTGGGGCGGATGCCTTTGAGAGCCAAGGCAACTTTTAGGATAGGGGCGTCGTGGAGAAGTGGGGCGGATGTCTGGGAGAGCGAAGGCAAAATTTGGGATAGGGCGTCGTGGAGAAGTGGGACGGATGTCTGGGAGAGCCAAGGCAACTTTTAGGATAGGGCGTCGTGGAGAGGTGGGACGGATGTCTGGGAGAGCCAAGGCAACTTTTAGGATGGGGTGTTGGAGGAAGTGGGAGGATGTCTGGGAGTCAAGGCAACTTTTAGGATAGGATGTCGTGGAGAATGGGACGGATGTCTGGGAGAGCCAAGGCAACTTTTTAGGGATAGGATGTCGTGGAGAATGGGACGGATGTCTGGGAGAGCCAAGGCAACTTTTAGGATAGGATGTCGTGGAGAAGTGGGACGGATGTCTGGGAGAGCCAAGGCAACTTTTAGGATAGGGCGTCGTGGAGAAGTGGGACGGATGTCTGGGAGAGCCAAGGCAACTTTTAGGATAGGGCGTCGTGGAGAAATGGGACGGATGTCTGGGAGAGCCAAGGCAACTTTTAGGATAGGGCGTCGTGGAGAAGTGGGGCGGATGCCTTTGAGAGCCAAGGCAACTTTTAGGATAGGGCGTCGTGGAGAAGTGGGGCGGATGTCTGGAAGAGCCAAGGCAAAATTTGGGATAGGGCGTCGTGGAGAAGTGGGACGGATGTCTGGGAGAGCCAAGGCAACTTTTAGGATAGGGCGTCGTGGAGAGGTGGGACAGATGTCTGGGAGAGCCAAGGCAACTTTTAGGATAGGGTGTCGTGGAGAAGTGGGACGGATGTCTGGGAGAGCCAAGGCAACTTTTAGGACAGGGCGCCGTGGAGAAGTGAGACTAATCTCCGAGAGAGCCCTAATTAGATTGTAGGATAAGGCGTCGGAGAGAAGTGAGATAGTTCCCTGAGAAAGCCAAGTGAGATTTGGGGATAAGAATGTAGAAGTGAGTGGATCTTTGGGAGAGCTCTGGCTAGATTTTAGGATATCATCGTAGAGCAAGGAGACTGATCTTCGCGAGAGTCAGTCTTTGAATAAGGCCTGGTGTATAAGAGGAAAGAAATACAATCTCTGGTTGAGTTAATTCAGCTTTTAGGATAAGGCGTCGTTGAGAAGTGAGACTGATGTCTGGGAGAGCCAAGGAAACTTTTAGGATAAGGATTCGTGGATATATGAGATAGATATCCGAGAGAATTATCACGTCGTGGGGATATGAGCCAAATGTCCCGGTGGAGAATATCAACATTTTTAATAAGGTATTGTGTAGAATTGAGACAGAGATTTAGTAGCGCCAAGTCAACTTCTATATAAGGTGGTGCTTGGTTTGTTTGTTTTTGTTTAGAGGTTTTGTTTGTTTGTTTAGTGGCAATATGGGTCATATTTTTTTTAAGCGTTTCACCCCAAGCAAGGCGGGGAGCCACTAGGACGCAAGAGGTTACAGAAAATTTGGAGCAAGATCAGATAGGAGTGATAGAAAAAAGGGTGAGGAGAAGGGTAGTGGATAGATCAAGGCAACTGGAGATGTCGATTGACATTACATTTGAATAGCTGGAGATTATAGCTCTAAGGGAAACTAGAATAGGGAAGGGTGTTCCACAGGCGAGAGGTGCGAGACATGAAGCTATTAGAGTAGAAGAGACGGCTACATTTAGGAGTTTCGACAGTGAAGGGGTGAGAGCGGGATGCCAGCCTCGTCGGGCGCTTGAATTCATGAAGTCTGGGAACCAGCGAATGCAGCTCCTCGGAGCAATTGCCATGAAAGTATTTGTAAAACAGACAGAGAGAGGCGACAGCGCGTCTGAGAGAAAGTGTCTGTAGACGAGATACCAGATCAGGGCCAATTATATTGCATATCCGCCTCTGGAGCCTATCAAGAACCTCGAGGCAAACAGAAGGGGCTCCAGACCATATATGGCAGCAATACTCCATGCAAGGGCGAATTGTTGATTTGTAGATCTGGAGGATTGATTCCGAGGAGAAAAATTTCCTGGCACGGCACAGGGAGCCAACTTTCCTTGCGGTGGACGAAGCAATTGACTCAATGTATTTGTTCCATCTCAGGTCAGCCATCAACGTGACACCGAGAAGCCGCATTGAGAATGCCTAAATTTAATTTTCTTGGGAACATTAACAATTTCTTTGACAAAAATATATTGCTGGTACGTTTTTTTTATTATAAAAAGTATTCTTGGCATTTTTACTATAAAAAATGTATTTTTATACTTTGATAGTGTTTTGAACACAGTTTGGGGTTAACTATTGGGACCCTAACAGGTACTAACATCCCGGGTCATGGTGGGCCTGGGAATAACATCAGTTAAAAAAGGGGGTTCCAGGCTCCTCAAAACCTCTAATCTCCCGACCAGGGGCCTTACCGCCGGACGTAGTTTATCAACATACCGAAGACTATCGTTTAGTGTCATATCAACTTCTATGGGATGATTTTGCGTAGAACTGAGACTGATGTTCGGGAGAGCAAAGTCAGTATATAACCCCTAAACGTATAGGGTTACGTAATAGGGTTTTTTGTATGAACGTAAAAAGGAAGAAATAAGAAGTACTGTTTAGTAGTTCATGAAGATATGTAGGAAATACTTACTAGATTTGAAAACGGTAATATTGAAGTGATGCGGAAAGCACCGTGTCCATAAAATAAGGATTCTTGGGAAGAATCCGTCCGAGTGGTATTCTCTGCTTACTAATGGAATACAAAGGGAATGGTGATGGTCCATTTGTGTGTACGTGGTATGGCGGGTATTAGTTGTGAAAGTTACAACTGTTGAAACTAAGGAATGTAATTCGTCAGAACACTTGCCATGGAAATAGCGATAGAGTAGCAATGGCTTGAGACGTTTCATTGTGGGAAAGGGTTTGTAGAACGGAAAAGGCCGCGTAGACGCTTTTGAACTCTGGAATGAGAGGACTGGGCAGGTTTAACCTAGATATGGCAGTAATCCATTTTTGGTTTGGTCTGTCTCTTATAAAGTTAGAGTGTATCAGGAGGAGTTAGGTACTCACTGGAATGGTACAAAGAACTGACCATTTTTCTTTAAAGATGAGACAAATGTCTCGGTGGAGAAAACCAGCATTTTTAATAAGTTATTGTGTAGAATTGTGACGGATATCCAGTAGCGCCAAGTCAACTATTTAGATAAGATGTTGCTTGGTTTGTTGTTTTTGTTTATTGGTTTTGTTGGTTTAGCGGCGTATCAAGTACTTATGGGTCATTTAATGACGAAATTCATTTCTCTTTCTTCTTTTACCTTTTTTCCTTTTATTGTCTCCACCCTCTTCTCTTTGCTTTTACCTGTTTTCTTCTTCTTTTCTTCTTCCTCTTATTTTTTTTCTTTTCCTTCATGGAAATCCTTTATATATATCTTTTCCTTTTATGGTGTGTCTCCTTATGTCTTAAAAAATTGGCTAATGAAAAAAAGAAAGTGATGTTTCATAAGTAGCACCTTTAAATAGAATCGATTACAACCATCTTTGTTCCTCACCTGTCGAGATTCGAGATGCGTCCGCATGGAAACAAAAAACATTAATTAATAACTATTGCTTTACTTTTGTTATTGAGCCCATTTTTAAATTAATGCTATATATATATATATATATATATATATATATATATATATATATATATATATATATATCAAGTATCAAGTGCAGTTCATCATTCATACAAAAAAACAGATGTAGAAGTTAATGATATAAATGGTGAGAATACATCTTCGCAAACAAATTTAATGAAGTACACCAACCCCGAACCTGTAGATGAATGTTATGATCCCTGTTTATAAATTCCAGTTGCATAAGGATTTTTTTATTTTTTAACAAGCTTTCATCTGTGCATACAGATATCATCAGGTATGGAAATAGATTTGTTTTTGTTTTTTACATCCCGGTAATAACAGGACAACGGAGGAATAGATGTAACCCGAAATATATTTTTAGAAATGGTTTATTGTTAATGGTAGGAAATTTTTTTTTTAAAATCTTAAAATTTAAAAATTCAACCTCAGCGTTGCGACCGCACGTTCCAAAAAAATTTCAAAAAAAGTTCGACAAGAGTGGAAGAGAAAGCCTCCTCCGCCTCTTCTTCTATTCCTCTTGCCTCCAATGTTCTATGAGAATAAAATTTTTCAAGTCCTCTTTCGCCATTATCTACCCTATAAATTTGAACTGCCGCTTCCTGATGTTAAGTAAGTCTTTTTATTTCCATTTTCGCTAGAATATCGTCGTTGTTCAGATGTTCAGTCCATGGCATTCTCAGTATCCTTCTGTAGAACGACATTTCTGTTGTTTCAAGTCTTTTCTACAAATGTGAGGAGATTATCCAGCATTCACTGCGATATAGGAAGAGTGATACCACGTACCATTTTCTCTTTTCTTTGTTTCGAACGAAATTGTTTATTAATAATTTACATAGATTTTGTAAGGCATCTTTCGCTATGCCAATGTGCCTTCGAATTTCAGTGTCGCACTTTCTGTACTGTGTTTAAAAAAATCTGTTAAATTTAATCCGAGAAATCTTCTATTTTTCTTTTCTTTTCTTTACGGTTTATTTTTGACATTGTGTGGTAAACAAAAGCGAACACACGTAGATGAATATATTATGCACACATCCGAGGGGAGAAAATGGTCGTCGAAATACGAGAAAAATGCCAGGCACCTTTGCGCTTTACGAGCTGAGAGTGTCTATTAATGGAACCTGTTAAAGGAACACAAGAATAAACCAGCAGAATGAAAATAAAGCTGGAAGCATGAGCCTACAAGATAAGAAGATTACGGACGAAAAGAATTACTTCGAATCGCAGTGCATAGATAGGCAGGTAACTTGGATTATAATTGACTTCAATAATATTAGGTTGGTGCAAAAATAATGACGTAATAATGTCGTTTTGACGTATTTTTTAACGTCAAAAACGACATTATTACGTCATTATTTTTGCACCAACCTAATAAAAAGATAAAGATTCAATAATCATCTAAGTTCTCATATTCAATAAACGTTCGTCGTCATATATATATATATATATATATATATATATATATATTCGCGGAGAAGGACTTCAGTCTGACGATATGAACATTTAAGTGTTCACGAAATAAAAATTATAAACGAAATAGATAATTAAAGTCTCCGTCTTCGTATTCTCATTATAATGCTCTGTTTTCTACATTGCGCTCTCCCTTGATTTATATCCTTCTCGGAATTATCCCTTCCAGTCACAAACTGGTAAAACGTATATATATATATATATATATATATATATATATATATATATATATATATATATATATATGTGCAATTTATTATATATATTATTTATATATTATATATGCGCGGTACTTATTGGAAAGCGCATAATATCAGAGATAGAGCTAACATATTATTTGGATTGATGTGAGTTTGTGACCCTGAATTTCATGCTTTAACGATTGCCAGACAAACTGATTGATTTTTAAAATTTTTTTGATTTATGTAGGGTTGTGTGTATCGGTGTTTTCATGGAATCAGTTTGTCTGACGATCGCAAATATATATATATATATATATATATATATAAAATTCTGTAATATATATATATATATACGGTCGACTAATATATATATATATATATATATATATATATATATATATATATATATATATATATATATATATATAAAATTCTGTAATATATATATATATATATATATATATATATATATATATATGGTCGACTAATATATATAGTCTCTCCAAGTGGCTTGCTCAGCGAATTAATCACAACACAAAAACTTAAATACTTTAATGGGGAACTGGAGACAATGAGTGGAGTGTTAATGTACTTAGCAACAGACATAGAAGAGGTTGGCCAAGGAAAATAACAGCTGTTGATGACAGAAACATTGTGAGAGCTGTGAGGAAAAAAAGAACCTAAACAACACTCAATGACATCACCAAAAAGCTCCACAGTTCAGGTGTGAATGTTTCACAATCTACCGTTTTTGAAGAAGACTTCGAGAGCAGAAATAGGGTGGACATATCATAAGATTCAAATTAATCATCAGCAATAGGAATCAGAAGGCCAGGTTGGAATCTACAAGGAAGTACAGAGATAAGCGACAAATGTTCTAGAAGTTTTATGGACTGATGAGACCGAAATTAATCTCCACCAAAGTGATGGAAATGTCAAAGTGTGTAGAAAGAAAGGATATTGTTATGATCCAAAGCATACAAGCTCATCTATAAGGTATGGTGGAAGCAGTGTCTTGGCTTGAGCTTGTATGGCTGCTTTGGAAACAGGCTCATTCTTATTTATTGATGATCTAACTCATGATGCTAGCAACAGCATGAATTCAGAAGTCTACAGAAACATTTTGTCTGCCAATTTAAAGAGAAGTGCATCCAAACTAATCGGTCGCAAATTTATGATGCAGCAGGACAATGACCCAAAACATACTGCCAACACAACAAAGAACATCTTCAGGAAAAACAAGTGGATAGTTTTAAACTTGCCAAGTCAATCACCGGATCTTAACCCAATAGAGCATGCATTTCATCTCCTGAAGAGGAGACTGAAAGAAGAAACTCCTCGAAACAAACAAGGACTGAAAGAGGCTGTGTTAAAAGACAGGGAAAGCACCACAAATGAAGAATACACCCGTTTGGTGATGTCAGTGTGTCGCAGGTTTGATGCAGTTATTGCAAGCAAGAGTTATGCAACCAAATATTAAATGTTATTTACTTTAAGACTATCGGTTACATACTTTTACTCAACCAAAAATAGGATGATCCGATACAAAAGATAGTATGCCCTAAGTTCTTTAAATACTATGAAATAAAAGCTGAAATCCTGAACTCTGATCACATATTAATTTTTGACCTTGAACCCAAATGTCGTCAGTGAACAAGAAAATTGGGCTTGCCATCCGAGTACTTTTAAAAGGGAATGTATAAACTTAAAATAATGCGATTATACTTTGTTCCCTTCGACTAGTGTATTTCTGATAGATAACATTTGTAAGGTAAGCAGTCTTTTAAATGATAATTAATATCAAGATGTAGACCATTAATAGTAATAAATAAAATGAAATGTTCATTTATATTGTCTTTAAATGGAGAGCTGTGATAATGTAAGATAAATAAGCATTTTAACTTATACCACATATATATTTATACCCCACCTTCTTGTAGCGATATCAGTGTGGGGTGATATCTTGTTAAAGGGAAATAAATCTGAAAGATGTTACAGAATTGTTTCGGCTGTTATGGTCTGGACGATTATCAGCTAAGTGAAGTGGACCTCACAAGAATCATGTCAAACTATCTTGACAAAAAAAAGTCACTGAGTGAAGCCAGTTCCTGACGACTTGATGAATTACTTCTTTTTTTTTTTAGATGAAAGATGACAGGACAAAGAACGTTCGTTCTCTGTAAGAGCGTGTTTCACTAGCAGCCAAAAACAGAGGACTGCATGCCGCGACGCGAAAAGGAATGTTAGCCTGATCGCCCACTCAGTTCCCTTCAACACGCCTTTATCAACCTCACACGTCTAGTCTACAGGAGAAAGTTACAACCAGAATAAAATTTGCCTGCTGCTACAACTTCGTCTCATGGCTTTATTTCGTAGGTAACAATTTGTCCAAAGAGATATTTTTAAAACCACAAGCGTATGACTGTAAGAAGCGGCACACTGAGAATGAATGTAAACGCCAATGCATATATATATATATATATATATATATATATATATATATATATATATATATATATATATGCATGCACAAACACATACAACACACACACACATGCACACACACACACACACACACACACACACACATATATATATATATGTATATATATATATAATTTTCATTCAAATCACTTACGAGGTAGGACTTACCCCGAATAGAGAGAATATTAAAATAACAAGAATTAAGACATTAAATAGCGATTGATATTGTACTTAAATTTTTGAAGATCAAAGTTGAGCGGGAATTAAGAAGACGGAAGCGAGGAGTGCAATAGAAGAAACTATTAGCATAGAACTTACGGTTATATCTAGCCGTGTCAACTGTAAAATGACGAAACCTTGCCGGCAATGTAGTACTTCGCTTAAATTCATAAAGTCTCGGGACCATAGTGGAAAGTAATATTTATTTTGGTGAATACAAAAATGTGGCACAAAGTTAAAAGTGGTGTATAGGAAAAGGTTGGTCTTTGATCGATCTTATCGTAAACTTAGCTAGCTATGATTACTAATACAAATATACCACTGTCTTCCTTACACCAAAACAACACATTCTTACCATTCTTACGACAGCAACCACAATACCTCAAAGTTTATATGCAGTCCTAACTAGTTCTCATATGTACAATTTGTCTGTGATGGTGTTGGTGGTGGGAGAATAAACTAGCTACATTTAAAAAGGCCACAATGAATATTTACAATGAATGCAATAATAGAAAAGTGTAAAGTTCATCAGAACAATTTCGATGAAAATATTCATAGAAAAGAAACAGGGAAACTACATTACGGGGGTTGGAAAGTGACTGAAGTCGAAATGCCATCTTAGAACCTGAGATGCAAATTCTTTGAATTTTATTTTATTTTTTTTTTTTTAAATGTATTTAAATATATTTTGTTTCCACCCTACTTTATGAAGATTTTCTAAACTTAGTTTAGATGTGGCAAAAAACCCGAATGTATATGATATCCAGTGAGGATCGAACTCGCTATTCAGCGAAACAAGATTGAAGCCATTACACCACATAGAGGTGCCCACCCGCCCTATCTTATGTGGTCAAAAATTCGCATATCCGTTTCTATTCTTTCCTATATAATCTTTATAATTGGAGGTGGAGTCCTGTTTTATCTAATTTTTAATTCCAGGCTCTCAATGTGGAATCAGAAATTTTCTTTCATGTCGAGATTTCGCTGATCTCTTATCTTTTGTTTAGCAAAACTCTCAAAACTGCTGCCTTGTCTGATACAAAGGAAAGGAAAACAGGAAAATGGTATTGTGTCAATATATATGTTTGTATATGTGTCTTTGTTTATTTGCAGGCAACCATATTTAGCAATGTTTAACGTAATCTGAGAAAAAGCACGTACTTTACTTAAATAACCCAAGTTTTGACATGTCGTAAAAACCACCGAATTTTACTTCAATTTGTTCGCATTTTTCTTTCTTGATTCATTCGTTCCTTAATTTTTGTTCTTTGTAAATTTACGCTTTTTCTTTTTGTTTTGTATTCTCGTCCATTTCAATGTTCTTCCCTGTTTTTATTTACAGTTTTTTCTTCCTTCCGTCCCTTATTCATTCCCTCGTTCTTTGCTTCCTATTCCCCTTTCTTCTTTTATTACAGATTTGCTTTCCTTCCTTCCTTTCCTTCCTTCTTTCCTTCCCTTATTTCCTTCTTTTCTTCACTGATCGCTTTGTCTACTTTCCCTCTTCATGCCTTCCCTATTCTCTCATTTATTTACAGCATTGTTTTCCTTCCTTCCTTCCTTCCTTCCTTCCTTCCTTTGCTGCTTGTTCTTCGTTCCCTCCTTCAGTATGTCTTTTCTTCCTTCTTTATTCTGTTCTTTACAGCTCTGTCTTCATTCCTGCCTTTATTTCTTTTCTTCTTTAATTTTCAGTTTTGTCTATTTTTCTTTCTTTTTCTTTCTTTCTTTCTTTCTTTCTTTCTTTCTTTCTTTCTTTCTTTCTTCTAGCTTTGTCTCCCTTCCCTTCGTCCCTCCGTTCTATTTCCCTTTCTTCCTTTATTTCACACTGTCTTTCTTCTTTCTTTCCTTCTTACGTTTACTTCTTGGCTTGTCTTCCTTCCTTGCTTTCTTCGTTCCTACTTATTTCACTTCCTTTCTTTGCTTTATTTTCCGCTTTGTATTCTTTCCCTCTTATTTCCTTCCTTTATTTCCAGCTTTGTCTTCTTATCTTTCCTTTTTTTTCTTCCTTCCTTTATTCTCCGCATTTTCTTCTTTTTCTCTTTCCTTTTATGTTTGCTTCCTTCCTTCTCTATTCCGTTACTTTATTTATAGCTTTGTCTCCCTTCTTTCCTTCATTTTGCTTTCTTTCTTTCTTTCTTTCTTTCTTTCTTTCTTTCTTTCTTTCTTTCTTTCTTTCTTTCTTTCTATTCCGGCATATTCATTCCACTGAATATTAATTGTCCGTTTTCCTCGCCTACATTTTTTTTTCTTTTTTTTTTAATCTTATTATATCAGTTACTATCTTTTTCAACTTACTCTTATTTTCCTTTCTTTCTTTCTTTCTTTCTTTCTTTTTTCTTTTCTTTCTTTCTTTCTTTCTTTCTATTCCGGCATATTCATTCCACTGAATATTAATTGTCCGTTTTTTCCTCCTACATTTTTTTCTTTCTTTTTAATCTTATTATATCAGTTACTATCTTTTTCAACTTACTCTTATTTTCCTTTCTTTCTTTCTTTCTTTCTTTCTTTCTTTCTTTCTTTCTTTCTTTCTTTCTTTCTTTCTATTCCGGCATATTCATTCCACTGAATATTAATTGTCCGTTTTCCTCGCCTACATTTTTTTCTTTCTTTTTAATCTTATTATATCAGTTACTATCTTTTTCAACTTACTCTTATTTTCCTTTCTTTCTTTCTTTCTTTCTTTCTTTCTTTCTTTCTTTCTTTCTATTCCGGCATATTCATTCCACTGAATATTAATTGTCCGTTTTCCTCCTACATTTTTTTTTCTTTTTTTTAATCTTATTATATCAGTTACTATGTTTTCAACTTACTCTTATTTTCCGTTCTTTCTTTTTCTTTCTTTCTTCCTTTCTTTCTTTTCTTTCTTTCTTTCTTTCTTTCTTTCTTTCTATTCCGGCATATTCATTCCACTGAATATTAATTGTCCGTTTTCCTCGCCTACATTTTTTTCTTTCTTTTTAATCTTATTATATCAGTTACTATCTTTTTCAACTTACTCTTATTTTCCTTTCTTTCTTTCTTTCTTTCTTTCTTTCTTTCTTTCTTTCTTTCTTTCTTTCTTTCTATTCCGGCATATTCATTCCACTGAATATTAATTGTCCGTTTTCCTCGCCTACATTTTTTTCTTTCTTTTTAATCTTATTATATCAGTTACTATCTTTTTCAACTTACTCTTATTTTCCGTTCTTTCTTTCTTTCTTTCTTTCTTCCTTTCTTTCTTTCTTTCTTTCTTTCTTTCTTTCTTTCTATTCCGGCATATTCATTCCACTGAATATTAATTGTCCGTTTTCCTCGCCTACATTTTTTTTTTCTTTTTTTTAATCTTATTATATCAGTTACTATCTTTTTCAACTTACTCTTATTTTCCTTTCTTTCTTTCTTTTTTCTTTCTTTCTTTCTTTCTTTCTTTCTTTCTTTCTATTCCGGCATATTCATTCCACTGAATATTAATTGTCCGTTTTCCTCGCCTACATTTTTTTTTCTTTCTTTTTTAATCTTATTATATCAGTTACTATGTTTTTCAACTTACTCTTATTTTCCGTTCTTTCTTTCTTTTCTTTCTTTTCTTCCTTTTTCTTTCTTTCTTTCTTTCTTTCTTTCTTTCTTTTCTATTCCGGCATATTCATTCCACTGAATATTAATTGTCCGTTTTCCTCGCCTACATTTTTTTTTTCTTTCTTTTTTAATCTTATTATATCAGTTACTATCTTTTTCAACTTACTCTTATTTTTTTTCTTTCTTTCTTTCTTTCTTTCTTTCTTCCTTTCTTTTCTTTCTTTCTTTCTTTCTTTCTTTCTATTCCGGCATATTCATTCCACTGAATATTAATTGTCCGTTTTCCTCGCCTACATTTTTTTTTTTTCTTTTTTAATCTTATTATATCAGTTACTATCTTTTTTCAACTTACTCTTTTTTTTCCTTTCTTTCTTTCTTTCTTTCTTTCTTTTCTTTTCTTTCTTTCTTTCTTTTTTTTTCTATTCCGGCATATTCATTCCACTGAATATTAATTGTCCGTTTTCCTCGCCTACATTTTTTTTCTTTCTTTTTAATCTTATTATATCAGTTACTATCTTTTTCAACTTACTCTTATTTTCCGTTCTTTTCTTTCTTTCTTTCTTTCTTTCTTTCTTTTTCTTTCTTTCTTTCTATTCCGGCATATTCATTCCACTGAATATTAATTGTCCGTTTTCCTCGCTTATTTTTTTTTTTCTTTCTTTTTAATCTTATTATATCAGTTACTATCTTTTTCAACTTACTCTTATTTTCCTTCTTTTCTTTTCTTTCTTTTCTTTCTTTCTTTCTTTCTTTCTTTCTTTCTTTCTTTCTATTCCGGCATATTCATTCCACTGAATATTAATTGTCCGTTTTCCCTGCCTACATTTTTTTCTTTCTTTTTAATCTTATTATATCAGTTACTATCTTTTTTCAACTTACTCTTATTTTCCGTTCTTTCTTTCTTTCTTTTTTCTTTCTTTCTTTCTTTCTTTTTTTTTCTTTCTTTCTTTCTTTCTATTCCGGCATATTCATTCCACTGAATATTAATTGTCCGTTTTCCTCGCCTATTTTTTTTTTCTTTCTTTTTAATCTTATTATATCAGTTACTATCTTTTCAACTTACTCTTATTTTCCTTTCTTTCTTTCTTTCTTTCTTTCTTTCTTTTTCTTTCTTTCTTTCTTTCTTTCTATTCTGGCATATTCATTCCACTGAATATTAATTGTCCGTTTTCCTCGCCTACATTTTTTTTCTTTCTTTTTAATCTTATTATATCAGTTACTATCTTTTCAACTTACTCTTATTTTCCGTTCTTTCTTTCTTTCTTTTCTTTCTTCTTTTCTTTCTTTCTTTCTTTCTTTCTTTCTTTCTTTCTTTCTTTCTTTCTTTCTATTCCGGCATATTCATTCCACTGAATATTAATTGTCCGTTTTCCTCGCCTACATTTTTTCTTTCTTTTTAATCTTATTATATCAGTTACTATCTTTTTCAACTTACTCTTATTTTCCGTTCTTTCTTTCTTTCTTTCTTTCTTTCTTTCTTTCTTTCTTTCTTTCTTTCTTTCTTTCTTTCTTTCTTTCTTTCTTTCTTTCTATTCCGGCATATTCATTCCACTGAATATTAATTGTCCGTTTTCCTCGCCTACATTTTTTTCTTTCTTTTTAATCTTATTATATCAGTTACTATCTTTTTTCTACTTACTCTTATTTTCCTTTTCTTTCTTTCTTTCTTTCTTTTCTTTCTTTCTTTCTTTCTTTTCTTTTTTCTTTCTTTCTATTCTGGCATATTCATTCCACTGGATATTAATTGTCCGTTTTCCTCGCCTCCATTCTTTTCTTTCTTTTTAATTTTATTATATCAGTTACTATCTTTTTCAACTTACTCTTATTTTCCGTTCTTTCTTTCTTTCTTTCTTTCTTTCTTTCTTTCTTTCTTTCTTTCTTTCCAGTTTGTCTCCCTTCCATTCTTCCCTTCGTCCAATTTCCCTTACTTTTATTTCACATTGTCTTCCTTCCTTCCTTGCTTTAATTCCAGCCTTTTCTTTTTTCCTTTCTACTTCCCTTCCTCCCTTTACTTTCCGCTTTGTCTTCCTTTCCCAACTCACTACTTCCTTTTAATGTCCGTCCCTTTCTGCTTCCGCCATCATCCACTGCATAATGACGACAACCCTCATTCAGCCAGTCTCTAACATCATGCCACTGACTGAAGGCCACTACCTTTTCAGATCACTGGCCCTCTTTTTAACTGATATGCAACTTTGATTTTTAATATCATTGGTTGAAATCAAGATAATGAAAAAAAAAATCAGTTCTGCATCCATCCAAAAACATAAAACCAGACACACATGTAGGCGAGCAAAGGATTTCCGTACACTCGTTACACTTCTGAAAAGTTATTTCATCGGAAGACACATAAATACATTGTACACTGTCTTGCTATTCATTTTATGAGCCGCCTGCTATGTCTGAACTCATAATCTTTGAAACTTAATTTACAAATCAGTAGCTTTTAATATAATTATCATATTTCTAATTAATTTTTTGAAATCAAACGGCGAGTTTTCATTAGAAGTCTTTTTTTTCAAATGTTTCTTTTGTTCTTTGTTTTTCTTTAACAATTATCTTTCATCATTTTCATAGTTTACAAATCTTAGTTTACACAAATTATATCCGCGGACAGTCACTTCCCAATTCAGGATACGGATTATTTCTAAATCTTTACCATTTAGATCAAGCTCTCCTGTCACTTCAAATAGCTCTCCTGTCACTTCAAATAGCTCTCCGTGTCTTACTTTATCGAATGCCTTTGTGCATTGTATCAAATATTGGAACAGATATTCTTGGATTTATGTTGCTTGTTCTCATAACATTTACACCATAAATATTGCATGTCCTGAATACATTTTTCTTCCAATTTTTCCGGACTAATTCTACTACGAGATCTGTCATTCAGAAGGCTAATTATTCATCATCATCAGTCCCATCACCATGTGTGGTCAAAGAGCCTCTGCGCACACTGAAAAATTTACTAGTTCCCTCCACATATGTGGAGGGAAAGTCATCTAGGTATTCATTCATGAGTGAAGCTTGTCTTACATGGGCCCATCATTCGACAGGTCAATCTACAACCTCTAACTTGAAGGCGCATCTTCGTCACGGATATGTGACCGTTGATTCCATTAACGCAAACTACTGAGGATGCAATAGACAGAACATGTGAGCAACGAGGAAGTTTTAACAAGAACGAGTGTAAGGTGACTGCTGCTCACAATCAAAAGCGACAGCTTAAAATTTCGGATTTTGATGTCATACTTTCTGTTTTCTGTTAAGAATAGTATATGAAAATAGTCACGGCGCACGATTCGTGCGCAGTAGCCGTTGACGTCAGTGTGGGTATGGTGTGTCATCATTGCATTGATTACATAGCTATGAAACCCAGTCTACTCGCTAGGGCTAGATGACCTTTAAATCTACAAGAATGTTCATTTGTCATTTGCCAGGTCTTGTTATTGGATGTCTAGCCGCCCTCCTCAACAAAAGATCCTGGTGCGGGAAAACAGTTAAGTCACCAATGGCCAGAATTGTCGCTGTTATTATTGGATGACATTGTATAAGTATTACTCGTAAAGCCAGCTTACTTAATTGTTATTATTAGGCATTGTTAAAGTTGATAATTTGATGGCGTTAGCATTAAAAAAACTTTAAGAGTAAAATTGATCTATTGGTTAAAAAAAATTAAGAGTATAAGTGATCTATTGGTTAAAAAATTAAGAGTAAAAGTGGTCTATTACCTCAAAAAAATTAAGAGTAAAAGTGGTCTATTACTTAAAAAAATATGAGTAATAGTGGTCTAATTTATTTGGTTGTGCCATGAATATCAATGTTTAGACTAGTGGTTCTCACATTTTTTTAACAAATTGACCACTTTTTTTCTTAATTTTTTTTAACCAATAGACCACTTTTACCTTTAATTTTTTTAACCAATAGATCATTTTTACTCTTAATTTTTTTTAACCAATCGATCACTTTTAATCTTATTTTTTAACCAATAGATCACTATTAGTTAAGTCTTTTAATAGACCACTTTTACTCTTAATTTTTTTTAAGTAAGAGACCACATTTAATCTCAATTTTTTTAACCAATAGATCACTTTTACTGTTAATTTTTTTTAAGTAATATACAACTTTTACTCTTAATTTTTAACCAGTAGATCACTTATACTATTAATTTTTTTAACCAATTGATCACTTTTACCATTATTTTTTTAACCAATAGACCCCTATTACTCTTTATTTTTTTAAGCAATAGACCACTTTACACTTAATTTAAAAAAAATAATAGACCACTTTTATTCCTAATTTTTTTAACCGATAGATCACTTTTACTCTATTTTTTTAAAAATAATTGACCACTTTTACTCTTATTTTTTTAACCATTAGATCGCTTTTACTCTTTTTTTTAAATCAATAGACCACTTTAACTCCTAATTTTTTTGATGGAACCCCATAACTATTCTATGAAAAAAAGCTTTATTTTATTCTTTACTAAGACATAAGTTTAGGAATTGTATCACAGAAATAGTAAATGTATATCCTTTCTTTATATATAATCCCTCTATAATTTATCTGTTGGATTAATTTTATTTTTAATATTTTATTTTTTTTAAATATTTTATATTAATTAATTTATATTAATATTTTATTTTATTAATATTTAAAATTAATATTATTAATCTATTATCAATACATTAAATTAATTCATATAATAAATTATAGAATCTTTAAGTACTTTTCCTTTATATATATAATACTTCCTTTATATATCTTTCTCAGTTTTAAGTCAACTTTTACTATCAAAACATGCGGTATAATAAAAAGGGTCGCTTGATTTCGTTTCCTGCTAGCTTTTAGGGTTGTTTTTCGTACTTTAATATGGCGTAGATTACTGTAGAAATTCCAATTCTCAGTTGTAACAACCTTTCCGAAGTGAAATTGCTTTATGGTCTACTAAAATATTATTGTGAATCCTCAATTTGCTATTTTTTGTGTTGACCGCCAGTAATACTACATGGACCCCCAGAATCCATATGGACCTCTGTTATGAATCACTAGTTTGCATAATGATAGGTTTTCTCAACGGATCCATTTAATTTGTACAGTGAGATGGTTCTAAGAGAATTAGAGGACCCCCAGGATTCATATTCAGTGGGCGTAAGATTAATTGTCAGTGGACGTAACATTAATTGTCAGTGGACGTTACACTAGCATACGCAGAGCATATTGACCCTGAGTTGATGGCCGAGTCAGTAAGAAAACTATTAAGTATTATGTAGTAAACGAAAACAATATTTAAGGGCTAACGATTAAGTATAATAATACGCAAAAAGAACATTAAAATGCTCGGTACATATCGGAGATGTGAGAATCGATCAGGTATGAAAATTTAACGATTTTTATACTACTCTTTAATAGAAAATAGAAAGCATGACACAGAAATCCGAAATTTTCAGTTTTCTCTTTCTGATTGTTAGCAACAATCCCCTTACACTTCACACTTCAAGTTCTCATTAAAACTTCCTTGTTCCTCACATGTTATCTCTATTGCATCCTTAGCATTCGTCGACAGACCCCATCTCTTAGGAGATCGTCCAACATCCACTGTCATTTAAGAAATTAGTTATTGCATAAGAGTATAGTTCTTTTTACTTCTAGGACAATTTTCCCGTCTCTTACTACTTTGCTTAGTTTCCGAAAGACATTTTTTGCTATTCTGATTCCCCTTCGGATTTCTGTGCCATCTTCTCCTCTATCTGTTAGTTAAATTTCTGCGCCTGTTTGATTTTGGCTTCGTCAAAACGCATCTCACGTCTTAGGCTGTCTCTTTTCATGTCAACTATGCATGTATTCTGTTTACCTACATAAAATTGTTAGTCTTTTCTTCTTGTTTTACTGTACTACCTTGTTTAATAGTTCTTTCAGCTTTCTTTTTGAGTCTCTCATAAATACAATATCATCTGCATAATATATTCAAATGTCCGTCGTTAATACATCCTGGTAGGTCTTCTAGTTCTCTTAGTATAATCTTGTTTTTTAAGTTAAAACAATTTACTATATTCAAATGTCTGTCATTAATACATCCTGGTAGACTTTTAGTTCTCTTAGGATCATCTTGTCCTTTAAGTTAAAAAATGGTAATTTTCTCCTTTCTCCATTTTTTTCTATGTTCACTGAACCAATTTTCTATCTGGATGCAAGCTGTTCATTTCCAGTTGGGATTACTCAGGTATCTTTCTCGGATAAACCAAGTTTATTTCAAGTAGTTCTTCTGGTCGTATCAAATACATTCGGGCAATCCATGAAACATGGGTATAGTTTTTTTTTTCTTCTATCTTTGCTCAGTCAGACGGCATTCTCGGATTAGAAAATGTACTTTTTTATGGTCCAGCGTCTTCATTAAAGCCACAATGTTTTTATATCATTTTCCGTCCATTTTTTAGAATCCCAAAGCTAAACTTATCTTTCGGATTCTAACAACCGCTGCTTTTTATGCCGATTAACCGACGGAGTTCGCATCCATTTGCACCGGTTCTCTTTGACGCTCTGGAGATAGATCTCTTGAAATTTTTTGATCATTTTTAATAAACTTAACGAAACCGGAGTATGTCAGTATTTCTATTGCAATTAAATTTAGTCCTCTGTCTTTGTTTCACTTCAACTTGGCCATTACTTGTCTAACGTCAAATATGAAAACCTGGTCCTATATTAAAGACTAGCAGCATGGCCCGGCATTGCCCGTGCTTGATTAAAAAATCGCACAACTCATACAGCAATCGCTATCATTTGACTTAAAATATTTTTGCCTTTCCTTGCCTTTAAAGGAGTGCTGATGTTGCCACATGCCTTACTTCTGCGATTTTTTTCTAAGCTCTATACTAAACATTAAATCTGTTACGAAAAAAGAACTAAACAAAATGAACACAAAACGATCAGCTTTAAAAAAAAGGACTCGTAACTCGAAAAACCGAATGAAAAGAGAATGTTAACAACAAATACTTTTTCACACCCAAACCAGTTCTGCGGAATCGGAATCTACGTTGAGTTTAAGCAAGCGAATGAGCCAATTGGAGTAAAGTGCCATGCAGATGCAAATTTTTCCCACTTGTAACGAATGCAGCTATCGA